AGAGAAAACACTCGGTAAACCCTATCTCGAAGCAAACAATAATTAGTATGTTTTTTTTTATTTTATTATTATACATCGGTCAGGTTTTGAAGATGTGTATGTGTACACTTAAATCTGTGCATGTAGCTTGAGATAAATTATTTTGACTTAGGGCCTACCCTTAATATTTAATTTGTTTAAAATGGTGTAATCTTCTTACATGTCTAAGTGTATTACAGTTTGGCCTATGCTCTAACTTCAAATGTATATCTTGCCCGTATATATTTGGTCTCTCAACAGTTGTGTAAAGCTTACAATTACATATAATAATTTGCAATAAACTTGATCACAATTAAACGTAAATAGGTGTTAACACAAGTTTGAACACACACTGCAAAAATAAAATAATATTAATATGAAAAATCTATCCACGCATCTTGCGTTATACATTTTAATTATTGAGTTTTGAAATACAACTCCTCACATAATGTCGTGTTGTAGAGTATTATAACGTTGTTTCATGCCTTATCAGTCAACAATCAAAACCTTTTTCCCGATGAGTTGGGATCCGAGACAACTGTTTTGTTACTTGACAAATGAAAAACAAAAAGTCCCATGTCGAATATGATATTTAGATCTACCGACAGACGACCGTCAACAATCAAGTACCAAAAACGCTTGATTACCGGGGTGCTTGTAATTATAGGTGCGTTCGATCACCTAACACGTGACCAGTCAACAGTCGCAGGGTAGCAAGTACCAGGTCACCACGTGACCAGTCAACAGTCATAGGGTAGCAAGCACAGGTTCATCACGTGACCAGTCAACAGTTTTAGGGTAGCACACATTAGCTATAGTTCGTTTGGTGAATTGTCTGGGAGACAGTCGAAATTGATTCATATGCATTTATATAGCGAGTCAGATAACAATATGTGATGTATGAACATGTTAATTTGTGAACTGATGCGCCGTTAGCCTTTTGTGTCATGTTACAGAGGCTGACCACCTGTTATGACACACTGTATCATGTTACAGTTCATGACTACCTGTCATGACACACTGTATCATGTCACAGTTTTGACTACCTGTCATGTCTCATTGTATCATGTTACAGTTTCTCTCTACCTGTCATAGCACACTGTATTATGTTATATTGTTTGTCTATCTGTCATGATACACTGTATCATGTTATAGTTTCTGTCTACCTGTCCTGACACACTGTATCATATTACAGTTTCTCTCTACCTGTTATAGCACACTGTATCATGTTACATTTTCTGTCTACCTGCCATGACACACTGTATCATGTATTAATTGCAGTCTACATCCCATGACACATTGTATCATGTTTCAGTTTTTCACTATCTGATATAATACACTGTACCATGCTAAATATTTTGACAACCTCCCATGACACACTTTATCATTTATTAGTTTCTGACTTGCTGTCATGACACACTATATCAGCTATTAGTTTCTGACTTCCTGTCATGATAAAAGTTGTAACATGTTACAGTGTCTGCCTACCTATCATGTCACACTGTATTATGTCACTGTTTCTGACTAACTGTCATGACACACTCTATCTTGTCACAGTTTCGACTACCTGTCATGACACACTGTATTATTAGTCAGTTTCTATTTACCTTTCATGACAAACTGCATCATGAATTATGTTTTGACTACCTGACATGTCAAACGGTATCATGTATTAGTTTCTGTCTACATGTCATGACACACTGTATCATGGCACAGTTTCTAGCTACCTGATATAATTCACTGCATCATGTATTATTTTCTGTCTACCTGTCAATACACGCTATATCATGTTTCAGTGTTTCACTACCTGCCATGAGACACTGTATCATGTTTCAGTGTTTCACTACCTGTCATGAAACACTGTATCATGTTTCAGTGTTTCACTACCTGTCATGACACACTGTATCATGTTAAATGTTTTGACTACCTGACATGTCAAACGGTATCATGATCATTTATTAGTTTCTGTCTACCTGTCATGACAAACTGTTTCAGGTATTAGTTTCTGTCTACCTGTCATGACAAACTGTATCATGTATTAGTTTCTCACTACCTATCATGACACACTGTATCGTGTTAAATGATTTCACTACCTGACATGTCAAACGTAAGCATGCATTAGTTTCTAACTACCTTTTATGACTACCTGACATGTCAAACGGTATCATGTTTTAGTTTCTGTCTACCTGTCATGTCACAATGTATCATGTTAAATGTTTTGACTACCTGACATGTCAAACGGTATCATGTACAGAGTCAGTTTATATTTATCTTTCATGACACACTGCGTCATGTATTTTTTTCTGACTACCTGTCATGACACAGTGTATCATGTTTCTGTCTACCTATCATGTCTCAATGTATCAAGTTTCAGTGTTTCACTACCTGTCATGTCATACTATATCATGTCATTGTGTCTGACTTCCTGTCCTGACACACTGTGTCATGTTATAGTATCTGACTACCTGTTATGACACACTGTATTGTGTAACAGTTCCTGAATACCTGTCAAGACACACTGTATCCTATCACAGGTTCTGACTACTTATCATGCTACACTGTATCAAGTTTCAGTGTTTCACTACCTGCCATGACATACTGTATCATGTCACTGTTTCTGACTACTTGTCATGCCACACTGTATCATGTCATATGTTCTAAGTACCTGTCTTGACACTGTTTTATGTGACAGTTTCTAGGTACCTGTCATGACACTTTGTATTAGTTCCATTTTCTGACTACCTGTCATAACTCACTTTGTCATATACCATTTTTTCTAAATATCTGTCATGACACAATGTATCAAGTTCCAGCTTTTTGTCTTACAGTTATGACACAACGTATAACATACTAGTCTCTTACTGCCTATCTTGACACACGGTATCCTGTTCCATTTTCTGACTGCCTGTAATGACGCAGTATCATGTTAAATGATTTGACTACCTGACATGTCAAACGGTATCATGTATTAGTTTCTGTCTACCTGTCATGACAAACTGTATCATGTTCCAGTTTCTGATTACCTGTCATGACACACTGTATCATGTTCACGTTTCTGGCTACCTGTCATGACACACTGTATCATGTTCCAGTTTCTGATTACCTGTCATGACACACTGTATCATGTTCACGTTTCTGACTACCTGTCATGACACACTGTATCATGTTACATTATCTGACTACCTGTCACTGTATCATGTATTAGTTTCTGTCTACCTGTCATGACACACTGTTTCATGTATTAGTTTCTGTCTACCTGTCATGACACACTGTATCGTGTTAAATGTTTTCACTGCCTGACATGTCAAACGGTATCATGTAACTGTTATGACACAACGTATACCATACTAGTCTCTTACTGCCTATCATGACACACGGTCTTCTGTTCCACTTTCTGACTGCTTGTCACGACCCAGTATCATGTTAAATGTTTTGACTACCTGTCATGTCAAACGGTATCATGTATAAATTTATGTCTACCTGTCATGGCACACTGTTTCATGTATTAGTTTCTGTCTACCTCTCATGACACACTGCATCATGTATTAGTTTATGTCTACCTGTCATGACACACTGTATCATGTTACATTGTCTGACTACCTGACATGTCAAACGGTATCATGTTTTAGTTTCTGTCTACCTGTCATGGCACACTGTATCATGTTAAATGTTTTGACTAACTGACATGTCAAACGGTATCATGTATTAGTTTCTGTCTACCTGTCATGACACACTGTTTCATGTATTAGTTTCTGTCTACCTGTCATGACACACTGTATCATGTATTAGTTTCTGACTACCTATCATGACACACTGCATCTTGTATTATGTTTTGACTACCTGACATTTCAAACGGTATCATGTATTAGTTTCTGTCTACATGTCATGACACACTGTATCATGTTAAATGTTTTGACTACCTGACATGTCCAACGGTATCAGGTATACGTTTATGACTACCTGTTATGACACACTGTATTATGAGTCAGTTTATATTTACCTGTCATGCCACACTGTATTATGAGCCAGTGTTTCTGACTACTTGTCGAGACAAACGGTATCATGTCACAGTTTCTAAGTACCTGTCATGACAAGTTGTATCATGTTCCATTTTCTGACTACCTGTCATAACACACTTTGTCATGTACCATTTTTTTCTAAATATCTGTCATGAAACAATGTATCTACTGCCTATCATGACACACGGTCTTGTTTTCCATTTTCTGACTGCCTGTCATAATACAGTATCATGTTACAGTTTCTGAATACATGTGTTATTGTGATATTCCAGGTTCTGACTTCATTTCATGACACAGAGTAACGTGTTCTAGTTTTAGACTATCTTGCATGACCTAGTGAAGGTAACTTAATGTATATAAATTATACATGTAAAAAGAAAAGATATGTTCTGATATCATCTTACCCTACCTGACTGTAATATTAAGTGCATATACCTGTAACATGATAACACATAAATTATCTTAACAAATTGATGTCACTTTAAAATCTGTACGTGGTGAGGTCATAGGTAAGACGTTAATGCCGATGGAGGAGCAGGGCAGATATTTAAATATTAGTGTATCCTTTATTTTTAATTATAAACCTTCCTATTGCCTTGGATATAACCGTAGCCAAACATAATTTTTAAACCGATTTAGAAATAAGGCTCCTCAATAACATGCCCCGAAGTTCTTGAAGTCAAAAACATTTCACAAACAAGTCGTCATTGAAAAGAAGGCCGTTCTTGAAAAGTTGGATTCCAGTTAGGGGCCACTTATCCCTGTCGGCATAACAGGTAACTATCACATCAGATGATTTCTTATTTCGATAATGCAATAAAAAACCGAAAATAAAATAAAATAAAACCACACAGGTAAAAAAACAACATAAATAGGACCTGTATAATGTTACATTTCTCTTGCGAAAAGGACTTCAAATTAAGCTATGGATAGCAAATGTAAGAACAATCTTGCAAATTCTGTTTATTGAGAGTATTTATTACATTATAGATTTGTGTTTTACAGAGTATCGACGTACAACGTATATCAAAAAGTATTCTCGTATCTACACAACATTTTTTAGAGAGTTTAATTGTTATTAAACAAACACCATCTCCAATACGGGTCATCTCTCTCAGCTGAAGTCCTTCGATACTGTTTTTTCAATTACAAATTTCATTGCTGCCGTCTTACCATCCACAAGAAGATTTATAAATTATAAATCTGTTATACAAATCTAAATTCAAATGTGGAATTTTTCATTTTGTCGTTGTACGCTTTGTCAAAATCTTCACTTTGAGCCACTGTAAAATTATGTTTCCAGTCACCAATCACACCTGTCAAAATAAAACATTTTCGAATTAATTTGCGATGTAACTTGGCATGTGAATGGTTGATCGAAATAATTTGCAAAAGAATAAAACAGAATGTCAAACGTAACAATGAACAGAGAATGAAACCCAAACTCATCTGGATACACGTGCCTTTCCTGTAGATGGGGAGTGTTTTGTTGATTGTAACCGCCTTCCACTGATCGGATGGTGTGAATGTCCTCGTGGCCTCTTCAGCCATGCTACTAAATGTACATCTTGCAGTAACCTTGTCCAAGAGGTCCGATCCGTAAGTGTCTCCAAGGAACAACGCCATCTTATGTACGTGCGAGCCCAGGTCCTATAGAGGAAATGTTAAATAGAAATTTTAAAGAAAAAAGAAGAATGCACAACGCCTGTGTCGGTTAATAAGAGGTTAAATGAATTTAATATCAATTTATTAACCGAGACGTTTTCATGATCACGATGCAGTTCTATAAAACTATTACTCACCGAAAAAAAGTGATTGCATTTTTTATCATTAAGCAGCATTGCACATACATACATTATTCAGTTAAAAGAAACTTGACATAGTTGCTATCAACTTAATAAACGATATAGTTCTTTATTCATATTTACCTGCAGATAAATAGAAGATTAGCTCACCTGTACCATGTCTTCATACATGAGATACATGATATTATTTCCCGTGTGCTCTATCCTCACTTTATCCCAAGACTGTATATATTCAAACCAGGAACCGTAGAAAACTATAATAGAAATTACCATACGCTACTAACAACAGGGAAAACATCAAACACTGGTATGTTTCAACCCACGTGATAAGAGTTCAACATTGTACTGCTGTTTGTGTTACAAATAGTAATATCCATTTATCTTCCGCTTGGATACATCTGTAACACATTCGGGCGAGTATACTTTCGTTGAACAGGTACAGCGATAGTATAACAATCTGGAGTCCAGGGTTCGAATTCCGGTCTAGCCCGCTATATTTTTGACAAACATAACACTCTTGAATATTAATGATTAAATATTGATTATTTTATCTCAATTATTTTTCATAAAAGTATCGCAAGGCTTGGTTTTAGTATCAGAAATAATTTATCAAGGTTATGTAATTGCTGAAACCCACAGTAAGTTGGCAGTGGTATTGGGTCCTTAAGCGGTAACTTACTTGTTCCTTCCATGTGAAAATTCAGAAGGCCTTTCCATGTCGTTTTGAAATCTTCTTTTATTTTTCCATCTAATTTTTCAGAGAACGTGTGGAGTGATGTGAGAACATCTTTCGGGTTCCGAAATATTGCAATGACCTTGCCCTTCCCTTCCTTAACTTGTTTAGGCATGAAGTCGAAGGTCATGTGACTCGCAAATACTCTAGGGGACGGGAGATTATCAAGTGTTTCCTTATCGGTGTAGTCTAAGAATGTCGGCGATCCTTTGTAGACAGTTTCTCCAGTACGAAGCATGCTGGCTATAGTAAATGCCCAATGAGTTCCTTTTAAGAGACAAAGATAACATAGATATATGTTTTCATGTATTTCTGCGTGTTTTAGAGACATTTTTGTTGATTGATATAACGATATTTCGTTCGACATTTCATCAATAAATTAAACAATTTCCATTATTTTTATCAATTATTTGGTAGCACGGTGTCATCTGTGATTAAACAATGGTGATATGATGTGGTGTAATTGGCAATATTTATCAGGATCTTTAGTATTTAAATAGCGGGTGTAGGTAGATATACCCCAAATGAAGCAGTCGCGGAGAAAATGGAATTGACGCTGGTTTCATCCGAATATTCGAAGATATTATTTGCCGAATATTCGACTTAACTACGATGATGAAGGCGACCAGCTTTTATACATCGCTTCTGTACAATGGAATATTTTTGTTGTGGAACACAAACGATGTATTCATATTTTGTTTCTGTATCGCTGAACATTTTTGAAAACAGTATAACTGATACTTTATAATAAGTTCTGCCATTTCGAAAAGTTAAGAAGGGCTTAAAACAGGTGCAGAATGTTTGTTATTCTAACTGCGAAATTTGAATTGGATTTGAATATTCATGTGATATGACTTGAAATGCCCGTATATGTATGTCTCAACGTTTAAAAACATGAAAATACTAACCTGACTTTGGATACGAGAGAATGAAAGTGTCATCATCTCTGACGTCCATTGAGTCTATTGCAGTCAGATGATCTTTGACATTGCCAACGAAATGTTTGACATAGTATCTGCCATCATACTTTTTATATTTCGCGAAATTTCCCTCGTCGTCCCGTATGTCGACCAGCTCTGCCATCTTTGTAACAGCTAACTGTTTCCAACAATTGTCCTTTGTAAATGTATACCTCAAGCTAGACACGTGTACATATAATTCCGGTGGCCGAGAGTAGCCACACACAATCTTCAGCAGGCATATCGTAACACCATAAATTGACCTACAATCTGTTTTATATCTCCAACGTTAGGAGGTGACATTGACGCGCTCTTTATCATATATTACCTACTAAGATATCTCCCACAAACAGTAAAGGTGTTCCCATTCCCACCTGATTAGATAAACCCGCTAGGTGTTGGTTAACCTTTTTGGTTATCTTACGGGTATCATCCTGGACGTTATTTCATATGTCAATCATGAAATTTTGACGTCAAGTAACAATGCTTAGCGACGTTATCTTCGATTGTGACGTTAAAGTTCAAAGAAACGTTTCCCCGATAGAAAACAGGAAAATATAATCCAAAGGAAACGTGGTTTACTGCATACAATACGATATTGATAAACGCGCTTAAAGTAATGTAGCCTATACTGGTACAAACAACAACGACTCCCCATCAATATCAATTCTAAATGACATTCATGAGGCGTTTTGAAAATGTATACTAGCATAATAATAAGAACAGTACAACAATAAATGTTAGGACATGTACAATGTAATGAATTGCACATTATCACGAAAAATGTTGAAATACGTTTGCTGGCTGCTCTCATTTACCGTCATTGAGCTTAACTAGTAACGTCACGTATCAGTGTAGGTGTCTGTACACACTCCCTAAATCATCCCCGCTTATCACCTAAAGGTCAGCTTATCAGCCTAAAGTTCATTCGTTAAATGTGTGTTTTAAATCTAACCTCGCCCGACTACAGGGATAGCTAGTATAATTTGTATGAGGGTCATTCAATACGATTTATTATCACACAGTTCGAGCAAAAACGGACAATACAACGTTTAGCACCTTGACAGACTGAAAGAGCATGCATGTTAAAAATTACGACATCATCCGACATGTATTAAACAAGGCATTCATTTTAATGGCATACATTACTGACTAGGGGCTACTTTTCAATGCTGAAATGAAGTTAGAAACTGTATCCGAAATATTCTCCTATATAAAAGCCTATATTAAGCTAATATATTGAATGCATGTGGAGGTCTACAGCATAAACGGCACATTTGCCGTCATATTGAGAAATATTTGCCGATGACTGGACAAGTTTTCGAATGGTAAAGTTGTAACAAGAAAGATGAGACACGGTCTGGCAGGACAGTTGTACATGTAGGGATCACGGATCCAAATCAAAAATATTTTGTGTTTTTTTTCCCTTTTGGGCAGAAGATTTGATAGAAAGGTGAATGCGTAAGACATGTATAATGTGTTAAATTGCACATTATCTCGAAAAATGATAAAATACGTTTACTTGCTGCTCTCAGTTACCGTCATTGAGCTGAACACGTAACGTCATTTATCAGTGTATGAGTCAGCACAAACTATTTGTAACATTATCACTTATCACCTTAATGTCAGCTAGTTCCGTCATTAAATGTGTGTTTGAATGTAATCTCACCCGACTGCAGGGGTAGTTAGTATAATTTTTACGAGGGTCATTTAATACACTTTGTCACCACACAGATCTAGCACAAAAGGGCAATACAAAATTGAGCACCTTGACAGACTGAAAAAGCATTTTAAGAGCAATGCATGTTAAAAATTGCGACATCATCTGACAGGTATTAAACACGGCATTCGTTTTAATGGTACACATTTCTGACTAGTGGCTACTTTTCAATGCTCAAATGAAGGTAGAAACTATATCCGAAATATGCTCCTATATAAAATCCTATATTAAGCTAATAAATTGTATATTAAATGCATGTGGAGTTCTATGGCATGACAAGGTACATTTGCCGTCATATTGAGAAATATTTGCCGATGTCTGAACAAATTTAATTGTAAAAGTAAAAGTAAAAGCGAAAGTAAAATTGTAACAAGAAAGAGGAGACAGGGCCCGACAGGCCAGTTGTACATGTAGCAGCATCAAATAGGAACATGTATGATGTGAAAGCAATAAAACAGGATGGAGGTCGTTATACTGTTTCTGCGATAATACATGTGATGGTCATTTCACAATGCATTGACTTCAAACATATTATAAACCAGAATTTGGAAAATAGGATTTGGTACAAGTAAGAACAACTTATGAAGCCATCTCCGTAAAACAATAATTCCAAACAACAGATGATGATATAGACTGTCAATTATATACAATGCATGAAGCATCACATTCTGGGCAGGTACTTGAAATTAAAGAAGAGTTATCCTGAAAGATCGTCAATTTGTTGACATCTGAACAAAAGATCAAACATTTGAAGTTTACCAAAAATATAATGAAAAATACGATAATTGTGACTTAAGACTGCTTTCTGTCTAAATCTCATTAATAAAACGCAAATGATGGCGAAATCAAGGAATGCCAATGATTGAAACATACACACAAGTGACAGGTAGTCATAAACTTTAACAATTAAGGATTGTCAAATTTTCTGACGCGTCATCGCGGAAAAATAATGTCTAGACGCGACTTAGGTGTGAGCCTACGGCAGCCATCTTTTTAATAGCTCGAAGTGTAGAGTCGCTAAATTTCGGGGTTCTGCATTTTCGTGAATGTGAAGCTGCCATAATTGAACGATGCATTGGGCAGAAAACCAGACGTGACTTGAAAGGACAAAACAATTCGATATTGCATTTACCTGTTCGACTGCATTTCATATAAGACGGGATCAACTGGATCTACGTTGTTTTCGACTTGTACCGTACTAGGCCTTCCGGGGGTTCATACTGACTCCACAGGCAGAATGGGGGGCTGGAGGGGAGAATTGCAGTGAATGACTTGTTACCACCGCTAGCAACCGTGAGCTGATAACATTTTGCTAATTAATTGTTTTTGGTTGTTTGAACAAATGTTTGTGAAGCTTCAATACATAAACATGTGGATAATTGTCCCCCTTCACAAAATATTACGCACATGCAATGTAAATCTGGTCAAATTCCTCAGCAAATGGAACAGGTTGAATTAAGTCCAACTTAAATAGCAATTGAAATATTATATAGTGTTACATGGCAGGTAGCCAGAAACTAATATATGATACAGTGTGACATGACAGGTAGTCAGAAACTGTAACATGATACAGTGTGTCATGAGGGATAGTCAGAAACTGAAACATTATACATTGTGACATTACAGGTAGTCAGAAACTGTAATATGATACAGTGTGTCATGACAGGTAGTCAGAAACGGTAATATAAAACAGTGAGACATGACCGATAGTCAGAAACTGTAACACCAAACCATGTGACATGACAGGAAGTCAGATACTATAACATGATACATTGTGACACGAGAGGTAGTGAGAAACTGAAATATGATACAGTGTGACATAACAGGTAACCAGAAACGGTTACATACTGCATTGTGACATGACAGGTAGTCAGAAACTGGAACATGATACAGTGTGGCCTGCCAGGTAGTCAGAGACTGGAACATGATACAGTGTGACATGCCATTTAGTCAGAAACTGTAACATAATACAGTGTGTCATGACAGGTAATCAGAAACTGTAACATAATACAGTGTGCCATGACAGGTAATCAGAAACTGGGACATGATACACTGTGTCATGACAGGTAGTTAGAAACTGTTACATGATACAATGTGTCACGACAGGTAGTCAGTTACTGTAACGTCATACAGTGTGTCATAACAGGTAGTCAGTTACTGTAACTTCATACAGTGTGTCATGACCGATAGTCTGAAACTGTAACATGATACAGTGTAAATTAATAGGTAAGAAGCAACTGGTATATACTGCAGTGTGACATGACAGGTAGTCAGAAACTGGAATATGATATATTTTGACATGACAGGTAGTCAGAAACTGTAACATGATACAGTGTGTCATGACAAGTAGGCAGAAACTGGAACATGATACGGTGTGACATAATAGGTAGTCAGAT